GATAGGAGTTAAAGATTGAACAGTATGTATAGAGTAAAAGAAAGAAGAATAATTCCTGTAAAATCGTTAGAAGCTTTCCCATATTTCCACTCAGTTTCGGGAATTCGGTTTCACCTGCTTACACCTGGCTGGAAAGAGGTTGCAGCCAAGTGCGCAACGGCCAGCTATCACGTTTCAAGATCTCTACATATATTTCTGTGAAGTGGAGTATACATTCATTTTAATGAACAAATGCATCGTTTTCGTTCCAAAATTTCAAGTAATTAATTTATTTATTTAAACATACTAGCCGGGCCACATTTTTAATAGGCCACCCCCGATCAAAACATATTGCCCTTTTATTATTGTATATAAAAAATTGATTTTGATTAAATACGCTATGAACGTAAGCAATTCTTGGCAGGGCGGGATCTTAGTCCACAAGAACCTCGAACAAACAAACCATTGCAAGTTAAATAAAAAGCTCTTGTAAAATACAATATTTTTTGTGTAGCCATAGCTAGTGCTTGGATTTACACTAGGGGCACTCGGGGCTAGTGCCCAGGCGGCCCAAAATTCAAAGGGAGAAATTAAAAAATCTTAATGTTATTGAAAATTCCTTTTTGCTATTTTTCCAAAAAATATTATTTAAAAAACTTACTAGTATCTATAATATGCGCCACGAAAGATGAGACTTGGACGGAGCGTCAGTAGGTTGGGAATCCTGAGCAGGTACAGTCGTGTACGAAATAGTTATCTATAATTTTTTCTATATTCTATTTAGGGATTTTTCAATATCATTTAGAATAAGGTTGTATAGCAATGTTGTATTAAAATTATTAACATATATTTATTACGAAATGATACCGCATGGTACGCATTTGTACAGGGGGGGGCTGCTGCCAAAAATTTTTGTTACAACCTTCCTTTGCTTCTTTTAATATATAACTGTATCACGTGTTAAACCCATCTCTCTACTTTTATCTTTTTAATTTGATTTACCTTGAGGCATAATCAAAAAATCTTTACAAAATTGCCACTCGTATACAACATAACTATATACAAGTCAGTTACTGCGGAGTCAAGCGTGGGTGTGCACGGGGTGAGGATTAACGGTAGGATAACTCCACTCCAACCGCAATTGCGATTGCGATGACCGCAGCACCTACGTACCAGGCGCCCTCCCGCGCTTCTTTTCGACGCCCAATCTCTTTTCGACGCCCTGAATCTCTTCTCGCCTCAGACTCGTAGTTTTCGAGTACCGCTATAGAGACCTATAGGCTATTTGACGTCTTATGCGCAAGGTTAAACTTATAACTCGCGTCATCTAAAAAGAAACGCTGGCAATAGCTCAAGCTGCGCATAACGCGATTTATCGGTCAAATTGGTGGTAAGAAGCGGGGCGTAAAAATAAAATGCAATAGGCTTAGTACTTTTTGTGCGCGGAGTATATCCATGCGCAAAACATACTCCGTCTCCACTTTCTTCCAACGTTTCTTTTTAGATGACGCGAGCTAAAAAACCGTGTAACGTGGTAATATGTCAAGTGTCATCATTCATGGCGCCGTACACTACATTTTTCGACAAAAATTTGAAAACATATGTTTAAGATCAATTTTGTGGCATTTTTCAAAAAAAAATAGAATTAAAAGAAATTAAACTTAATCGAAAACTTGTTAATACACATTATGCAAAATTTCGATGATGGGGCGGCATTTCTTTACAATGCCCAGGGGCGGAGCTAAGGTTGAATTCCGGCACTGAAGTCTGTCTGCATAAGTTTATAATAAAACCATATTTTGTTTTAAAAAACTTTTTTTTTTAATTATAGTTCAGATAACAAGAGTATCTTATTATCATCGTGAATATTTCTTTATCTACTTGGAACATTGTACTTTTCTGTATATTCTGCCCCGATACAAAACAAGCAAAATTATTTTAAAACAGAGTTTTGGATAGGATGAAGAAAAAAAATAGTTCTCACTTTAATCACAATTTATTAAAATAAAAAAATTAGGATCTTTAACCCTAAACTTCTACAAAAAACAAATCCACTTCATGATCATTTACTAATCCCACAAGCTTTGCATTAAATGCGTTAACAAATAGTTGAACCCACATATTTGAACCCTCTTTTTCTTAAGGCTTTTTGAAAAGTGCAAACCGATACATCTTGTTTTGAGTGGGTACTTCATTACTAGCTTTCCAGTTTTATTAAGGAATAGGATTTTTATTAACAAAGTTCCCATAAAAAATCTGAAAAATTTTTCATTATTTTTTTTCATTTCTATATAGCATTTTGAATGTATTTATTATTGATTCGATTTTACCTTTATGGTTTAACAATATCAGAATTACACAAGAAGTCTTTTTGTTACATCATTATCACTGCATTTGTTAGGCAACTTTTGTGTTGGTTCAAAGTTATGGCAAAAGTTTTTCTATAATTGTCTCTCTTTTTTAAAATTGTTATCCAAGGATAAGCCAAGCTTGTTGCCCCTCTAAACAAAGCATTTTCAAAAAGCTTTACACTATCATATTGTGGCCTACCCCCCATTCCACTGTACGTGGTACAATATGTTCAAATTGGATTCTTCATTTAACCATGAACACGTAATAGTAATTTGTATTTTATTCATTGTTTAATAATATTTAACAGATATTGTTTGCAGGTTCCTTTCCGTTTTGAATTAAAAAATTCTTGGCATGTTGATGACAAGTAACATAAACTTAAGCGAATCATTTTTATTTATTTAGCTGGTTTTAATAACCAACGATAATTGGTTTTATTTTTCTTTACGGCTGGTTAGTTCCCCCATGTACATCGAATTCTTAAGAATTAATATTTTTATAATTGTTAATTTTAAATCGTATCACGCATGTCAAAACGTTTGACATTGACATTTTGTGAATGACCGCGTGAACTTACGACTTAAATGTACTGTTGTTGTTAACAAAGGAGATAATAAATAGAATAAATAGGTAATCGTAATTAGTTGACGAGTATGATGCCCGTACAATAATTGGCAATGAATTGATTGAGTAGGAAGGTCTTTTTTCAATGAATGCACTTCACTTTGTATATAGTAGTACTTGGGCGACCGACCTTTGCTCAGAATTTTTTTTAGCCAAAAGTATAACTTTCTTTTTTTTTAAACTAAATAACTTGTATAAATACAAAAAAAAAAAACAAAAATAAAAACTTTATATCCCACCGGGAACTTGCGTCCTTTCCGCTTGACCACGATGCTTAAGCCCAAGTATGCGAAATTAGTGATCATATATTTTGCGTGCAATAATACGATCAAATGTCCGCCCCCAAACCCCCCCAAAGAAATAAACAAGAATTGCTCATTTAAAGGTATTAGATAAAGGGTTGCCATAAAGTCCAAATACCAATATGTGACGTTTTTTTTTGATACCCAAATCCCAATACGCGTTAACATATTTTACGCCTAAACGCTTTGTTTCAACTACCTACATCAAAGCACGAATATATTTTGTTGACAGCTACCCTCTTATCTCAATCGTAGTGCGTATCAAAAGTATAGAATAAATCAAAATAAAAGTTTTTATTCGAAGTAATCGTAGAGCTTCGATCAGCAATACTACTAGTTATCGTGTCGGCGTAAGAAATCCGTTTATTCGTCTCGGTAAATATAAGCTCACTTGCAAAGTGAGCGTATATTTATTTATTTATTTATTAAAGGACAACCAACAAAAGATACATTAAAATCGGCATAATATTCATGTGTTAACAATTTAATTAATGTTCTTTTAGTAATAGGTTATCACAGCATGCTCTTTTTTTTTTAAAATCACGTCAATAACATTTAATTATAAAATGGAAATTTAAAATTAAATCATAATAATACGTTAATGAATAAAGTTGAAAATTAAATTATAAAATTAATACATGACAATTTAAATATAAACAATTACTTAATTAGACATAATATAATTAGAATAAAATAAGTTAATAATATTTAAATAGTTAGTCCAATAAAACAAGTAAATTCAATTTGGGATTAGAATTAATAGCAACGCACAAAACAAAGTAATAAAAAAAAATATATCATAATTTATCGTAGTAACGATTGGCGATAAGTCGAAGGGTTACAATTCTGATAAATATTCGATAACTTTGCGCTTAAATTGAGGTAGTCTGTCATGGCATATGTCTACGCTTAAGATTTTTTTTGTGATATTATTGTATAATCTCGACATTCTTGGCACAGGGGAATTCTTTCCCAAGTGAGTTCTGTAGACACCTAATTCTAACAAGCTGCACGGATGTCGGGGTATTTTAGGTGGGACGTGGAATGCAAATTTATTAAAAATATCGGAACAGTCAACTTCATTATTTAGGACTTTATAGAGAAAAGTCATTGCTAACATTTCTCTCCTATTTTTAAGACTATTAATATTAAAATGTTTAAGTCTTTCATCATAGCTATTTAATTTTAATTTATATCTATATGATAGTTGCCGCAAACAAACGCTTTGCACAGATTCCAGTCTAGTGGTGTGGCTTTTCTTGTAAGGTGACCATATGAGAGAACAGTATTCAAGTCGACTGCGAACAAGAGTATTGAATAACTTTAAAGTTGTTATTGGATTCTTAAAGGTTTTTGAGGACCTCATAATAAAACCAAGAGACTTATTGGCCAAATCGAGACAATGGTCAATATGAGGACCAAAAGTAATGTGACTATCCATAACCACACCCAGATCTCGTATTTGTATTAATTCAGTTAATTCATGTTGGTCAATGTAATATTTAGACAGTGTAATATTCTTCTTACGCGTAAACTTAATATGATGACAGTTTTCAATGTTAAGGTACATTCTGTTCATTTTGCACCATTCAGTCAATCTATGTATATCTTCTTGAAGTAAGTACTGGTCATCATTCCTTTAACGACACGCAATAGTTTTAAATCATCGGCAAATAGGCTTGCGGTGCTATATTTGAAAATATTGATGATGTCGTCAATAAAAATAATAAAAAACAATGGACCGAGATTGGATCCTTGAGGGACACTTGAAAAATTGCAAAACGTTTGCGATTGGTGACCATCTATTACCACGGTGGAAGATCTGCCAATAAGATACGTTTCGCACCATGCCAGGAGCTTGTTTGATATCCCGTATGCAGAAAGTTTTTTTAAAAGTAATCTGTGGTTAACCTTGTCAAATGCTTTCGAGAAGTCTGCATAAACGACATCTACTTGATTGCCCTGATCGATGTTGTCAGATATAAAAGAAACGTGCAGCAATAAATTTGTGTTGGTCGAACGTTGAGACATAAAACCATGCTGTTCTTTATGTAAAGTACTGTTAATATGATTATAAATATGTGCATAGACGAGGGATTCAAATACTTTTGCCATTGAAGATATGATTGAGATGGGTCGATAGTTACTCACCATGTCTTTTCTGCCAGACTTGTGTACTGGAACAATTCTACTTATTTTCCATTTGTCAGGAAACAGGCCATCTTTTAAAGATCGATTGAAAATAAGGAATAATGGCAAGGAGAGTTGGTACGCGCACTTGGATAAAAATAACGGTGGTATGTTACCTGGTCCCGCCCCCTTATTTAAGTCAAGTCTCTTTAATTTTTTATAAATCAAGTCTCGTGTCAATTCGAAAGTGTCAATATCACTAGATGTATTAATGGCCGTACCTACATTTCTGAACTCACTAGTAATTGTGTTATCATTCTCGTATACGGATGAAAAGTGTTTCGCAAAGAGATCGCATATAGAGTCAACTGTTGTAGCTTTAGTTCCATTGCATGTCATCACGGGTGGATATGCACTCTTGGTTTTACGGAGATTCTTTAAATGGGTCCAGAAATATATAAATGAGATAGATTTTTGATTGAAATGCACCGAAAATTGTGTTTAACTCTTCCCTAATAGCTGGAGAGCTAGTGAACCCTGGGAGTAACGGTCTCCCTGTAAGGTTAGAAATTTGTCTATTTACGATTTATGGCATGCTAAGAGCAATAGCCATGACCTGGCAGGCGTCAGCCCTGCACGTCATCAGCCCCTTTATTTTTTGAACTGTTTAGTAAATTGAGTTTTAAAACTTGTTTCTGTAAATTTGAAAATTTAATAGGATAAAGTTTATTTATTGTACATCTTAAAAAAAAATTGACAGGCGATTACAATAAGCAGAAGTATATGACAGATCAATTAGAAAACCCACAGTTGATGAGGTAAAATAAACTTTATCCTGTATACTTAAAATTTTTATATGTTTTCAAGTAAACGTCTCAGAGTAAATATGTACAATGCCAGGCGGTTTTGCACAGCATAAGACCTTGACAGGCGAGGGGACAGGGAGCTGCTAAGGGCGTGCAAATAAGAAATGTTACATGAACGCATACAGTAAAATATGCAATGTATTTTATTGGGTTTTATGCAATCTACATTATTTTTAACATTAATTTTCTTCAGCATAATCCGAAATTTCGCTATCACTGTTTTCATCATCATCTGATTCTTCAACAATGTTTTCCTCATCTGAAAATAGTAAAAAAATATTTGAATGAATCAATAAGGTTGTTAAGAATTAAATATCAAGCTCAATTACGTAGGACTGCATATTAAATGTTACGGAATAAAATAGTTGTATGTTACCTAAAATGCATTCCTCAGTTTCAGTCGATTGTGCTGTGGCAGTATCAGCAGGTCCTTGTAAAAGTATGTCGTATATAGAAGATGGAACCGTATTCCCCTCAAACCAATTAAAATTGTAACGACTATCAATTAAGTTCCAACCGTTATTTTCAGGTGTAAGAATTGTTGGTTCTTTTAAATTACAATTTCGCCATATATTGTAACTAGCGGCTCACCCTCGCTTCGCTCGGGTTCGTCGCTAGGATTTAAATAGATATAAATAGTTATTAGCCAGCGTTAATCATATAAATCTTAATTTTTTTTCGTGATTTTTCTGGTGTTTTAATACTTATTAACCTATTTCAGACTAAGAGAAATCCAAAAATTCAAATATCATAAAAATTGTTCCACCCATTCTTGAGTTTTATGTCACGTCAGACGGGAACGCGGTCGAACGGGATAAAAAGTATCCTATGTCCGTCTCCTGGTTCTAAGCTACCTCCCCACCAATTTTCAGCCAAATCGGTTCAGCCGTTCTTCAGTAATATATAGTGTAACTAACACGACTTTCTTTTATATATATAAAGACTAGCGGCTCACCCTCGCTTCGTTCGGGTTCGTCGCTAGGTACGTTTTAAATAGATATAAAAAGTTATTAGCCAGCGTAAGCCACATAAATTTTATTTTTTTTCGTTAATTATTCTGATGTTTTTATACTTACCTATTCCGGACTAAGAGAAATCCAAAAATTAAAATATCATAAAAAATTGGAACGCGGTCGAACGGGATAAAAAGTATCCTATGTCCGTCTCTGGGTTCTAAGCTACCACCCCGCCAATTTTCAGCCAAATCGGTTCAGCCGTTCTGGAGTTATAAATAGTGTAACTAACACGACCTTCTTTATATAATACTAGCATTGCCCGCGGCTCCGCCCGCGTTCAGATGACCAAAAACTAAATTCTTAGGTGTTACATATTAGTATACTCTTACATTGCAGTTTTTGTATTTTTCCTCAGAAATAAGATATTTTCCCGCGGTAAAAAGTATCCTAGGATCGCGCGCTACATCGCCCGGTTTATATAGCTTGAGCAGGCGGTCGAGCGATGCGGGGCAGAGGGGATGGACTCGCCGTAGGCATCTCAATGCTCGCCAAGCATTAAAAATGTTTCGCTACTAATTACTTCTAACAACGATATCTCAAAAACTATTCATCTGATTGATTTAGTGTAAAGAGCAATTTTAATCTGCATTAAATGACTAAGCTAACTAAAATATTCATTTGGATAAGGATTAATACCGAACTAAAGAAAATAACTTTGAAAATAACGTAATGTTTTTAATTAAAAATGTTAACATAAAAGTGGTTATTGTAAGTCAACCGTAAGAGATAGAGATATGCTATCGCGGACTTTTTTGTAGCATTTTTATAGATTTTGAATTCTCTAGTACATTACTTAACTGTATCTTTGCTAGTTTACGCGGCGTTCGCGTGGAAAGTTCCCATTTGGCGAGATTTTTTGCGACCTCTTCAACATTTGTCGCCGTATTTCAGCTAATTTACATAAAAGCATAATAAATTATATACCTAAACCTTCCTCAAGAATTACTCTTTCTATTGTTGAAAACCGTATAAAAAATCCGTTCAGTAGTTTTCGAGTTTATCGCGTACAGACAGACAGGAGGACAGACAGGAGGACAGAAAGACGCGGCCGGGGGACTTATTTTTATAATAAGTATAGATATAGAGATGTAGGCAGTTCTCAATAATTGTTGATGTAGTTCACGTTGACAGGGTGGTAAATTTGATGAATCATAGCTTACTACTTTTTTCATAAACACTTTAGGATTATTTGTGTTGTACGTAGCAAGGAACTTTTCATAACGTGCATTATTTAATTTTGAACATTTCAAACCATACATTTGGCATACAAATTTCTCTAGTATCGGGATTTTTTTTTCTTTCTTCTGTACTATTTCTGCGTTTCCTAATTCTTTGAATGCCTTCTGATATACACTCGATTTCTGCAATATTTGGAATGGTTTTTTTTACCTCTTCTTGAAAAGGACGGACTCACTCGCACTATAGGTATTCACGCAACATCTCTCACTCGCACGCCCTTAGCAGCTGTCCCCTCGCCTGTCAAGGTCTTATGCTGTTCAAAACCGCCTGGCATTGTACACATTTACTCTGAGACGTTTACTTGAAAACATATAAAAATTTTAAGTATACAGGATAAAGTTTATTTTACCTCATCAACTGTGGGTTTTCTAATTGATCTGTCATATACTTCTGCTTATTGTAATCGCCTGTCAATTTTTTTTTAAGATGTACAATAAATAAACTTTATCCTCTTAAATTTTCAAATTTACAGAAACAAGTTTTAAAACTCAATTTACTAAACAGTTCAAAAAATAAAGGGGCTGATGACGTGCAGGGCTGACGCCTGCCAGGTCATGGCTATTGCTCTTAGCATGCCATAAATCGTAAATAGACAAATTTCTAACCTTACAGGGAGACCGTTACTCCCAGGGTTCACTAGCTCTTGGACTATAATGATTTGTCGAACATCGGCGGATGTTAACGAGGAGTCGGTGTCAGATGCCTTAGTAAATTTCTGTTTATTTCTAACTGTCACATTCAAAGAGGAGTCGTGTTTATCGTTGGCAAGAGTGGCTGCTGCTCGAACAGGAGTGTTTGAGTTATCTAAGCCGGCTCTGGGACGATTGCATTCAGGACACAGCCAGTTCGCTTTAAAGTCATTAGTAACTTCTTTGTATTGTAAAGTAGTAGTCGTTGCTATACATGCATAGTGATATTTCTTCAAACATTGCGAGCATATTATAAATTCGTTTGAGTTCTGTTGACGGTTGCAACATTCGAATTTCATCTTATTAGTTTTTGTCTTCGTTAATTCATTCATACTGCTTAATAATATTGTTTAATATTCACAGAAAATAAATATTAAAATAATTTATAAAATTTTACTACGTCGGAACCGGGGTTCGATCTCAGAATCGCCGCGCTGGTAGTTATCTTTAAGGCACTAGACCAACAATAGACTTAACGCAACTTGCAAATTTCTTGTATCATATCCTCGCTTAGGTGAGCTCTACATAGGGTCATTGTCGTAGTTGCAGAGGTCATTAACACATTATTGTAACACTGAGTTTTATTTATCACTACTTCACTATTTTTTAAATATTGATTTTATTATAGTTCCACAGTTATTTTGTATTTATATTTATGTTGCAAGAACACTAGATTACACCTTCGTCTTTCGCGTTTATACCCTTTGTCTTTGCACTTTAACAGTTCTTTTTTATGTAAAAGTTAAAAAAAAATATATATGTATAAATATATTAAGTATTTATAATTGTAAATATCATGATTTTTGATGGAAATTACTACTTTAATTAAATTAAAATGATTTTAGTAACGGAGATGACTTGACGTGTGTCGCACGCGACTACCCACCCAGTTCGATTAGTTCTATTGAAACACTGCATGTGTTAACACGTCCACAATGCCGCAATGTGTATTTAATAGTTGCAAAAATAATGCGCGAAGAAGAAATTTTTCGGACGGAGTGTCTTCTTTTCGTTAAGTACATGTAGGTAGATTAAGTTAATATTTTAAGATTTAACCTACGAAACAATATAAAAATGAAATTTTGTAAAATTTTAAATCCGCTAAGAACGTTTGGCAAAATTCAAAGAGGCAAATCGAAACAAAACAACGATTTAGCTCACAAAGCTACGAAGGGAAAAAGTACTTTATGTTTTTAATATAAAGTTGATTTTACAATAAATATTATAAAACTTACGAAATGATCATAAGTGTATGATGATAATTTGAAGATTTGTGACTTTATAACAAGGTGCTATGGTGTTGATTAGGTTGAAAATAAAACTATTATAAGACTTTGTCTTGGTTCATTAGTATACAAATGTAACTGTATAAGTACATATTCGCGCGGATAGAATTTAGCTTTGATTTTGTATGTGACACGTTATCTAGTCGTATTGTTGATCGAAGTCGTATAGTATCTACAGTAAAAATTTTTAATTTAAATTAACATTAGTTTATTATTTCGCCCAGACATATTTTGAGGTCAATTTAACTTTTGAAACGATCTCTTTTTCGTTTTTAATATAATCATACAACTGGGGGCACGTTATTTACACGCATGCGGCTGGAAATTTAACTTAAAAATTATATGAAATGCAAGTTTATTTATGCTGTCAATGAAATTAATATTGTATTATATTTAATTTCAATTAAACGTAACATATATTATGGTAAAACAACTATCTACATATATGTCAACGTAATAAATTATGCATGGGAAGAGAATTTTTTTCTTCCATGGTTATAACGATATATTTTTTTTCACAGTATTTAAATAATATTTTAGTTCTTATATTATTATGACCATTAATCATATAGACTTGGAGTATTTATGTTTAAATAGCCGGTGCAAATTAACCATTTCGGTCCGCCATATATTTTTGACAATTTCGATTGGTGATTACATCTATGAGCTTTAATATATCTTCTCGTATTCGGTCCGGTTATAAAATTTTTCAAGACGCTAGTGTTGTTTTCATTTAATGTTCCATTCGAAAGCTTTTGTAAGAAGGATATATATTCAGGCTTCATTAATTCACCAGATATACGATTCATCTGAAAATAAAAAAAAATGTAAAATGTGATTTTTTTACATTGTACAGTACTTAAATTTATTTTTGTTTAACACTCACTACTATTTTTATTTGAGCATCAGTTAATGGAGTCGTCAAAGGTCCTAATAGTAAAACACTGCTATTTATCCCAAGAGTTTCAGGGTCTACTAAAATCAGATCATCGTTGTCTTTACTCTTTATTTCTTCATTCATAATAAGAAACATAAATTCATTATTATTTTGACTTTTATCTGTAGGTTGTAGTTTATCCTGAGTCTTTTTCGGCAGGAAATTATTCAGGAATTTGAATTGTGGACCTTTCATTGTGGTATGTAGGTTTTTAGAAGAGGTTTTACAACATAACATTTTTAGTTGAGCTACAAGAATATCAAACAAAATTTCTTTTTTTTGATCATTTAGATTTTCACCGTTAGATACATAACGTGGTCGATTATATAAAAGGTTATGGAGTTTCTTTAAAGCAACAAAATTGGCGGACGATTTTTGCTTTTGTGGTATTATTTCTTTGTGTTCTAATTTAAACATTGCCGGTGTATCGTTTGTATTTTCTAAAGATATTTGAAACGTGGCATCGTTTTCTTCTGGATCAATTTTAACATTTTTTAAAGGTTTACTGTGCCCTAGTGCTACTTGAACAACATCGCTTAAGTCATAAATTTCTCTTTTAGGTTGAGTATTAAGTAATTCTATAAGTTCTTTGTCACTTAATTTTGATAAAATATATGCTATGTCGTTATCTGTAATCAATGAGTTTGTAATTTTAAAATATGATGTATAAGTAACCTTAATAAAATAACATTATTTATATTTTTACAAAAAAAAACTGTTTATTTACCATTTTTATTAATCACAGATGATTTAGGTAAATCTTTATCGTCTGGTAAATATCCTTTTGATTCTATAAATTTGGCAAGATCATTTTCTGGTTCTGTATTGTCCATTGAGTGATAATGTTTCTCTATCGTTACACATTTTGATGCTTGAATCTTTAAAAAATATTTTAAAGAATTATAAGTGAGACTTAAATTTATAACACTTTTTTGACGTTAAAAAGAAGTTGATAAAAATCGCTTACACATATTAAAACTATGATTTCCACAACATATCTATACATTATATATTATGTTTGAAGTATATAGAAGGTATGATTTCTACCTTAGTTAATAGTTAGCCAGCACGCACCTAATGTCATGGATGAATGGTCACGATTATTTTTTTCATTATGAGAATAGACTTATCTTATTATGTTTACATAGATTGCATTGAACAAGTGCTCGTTAAAATGCTGTTTAGAATTGCGATAACACTTGGTTTTGATTAGCAAAGAAATTTAAAAGCTTCCAATTCATACTTCTTAAATGAAAATAATGTTTAATATATTAGAGTAAGAATAATATTATAAAATTGAAGACTGCGAGATGGAATAAAATTCTTCGATACGCCGGAGGTCACAGATTTGAGAATCTGGTCAGGAAATATTTATATTATAGGTGGGGAGATGTGTGCAGTTTAATAATGATCTGTGTTCGCGTTTTTCGGATTCCAGATAATAATAATAATAATAATAACCCCCCCAAGGGATCACCTTGCCGTGGTGGGGGGCTTAAAGGAAGGATAGTACTGGTAAATGGTCAATTATAACTCGACCATACACTATCTACAAATAGACCCCAGTAGTAATGGGTGACAGGAATACCAATAACATCTAGGTAACTCTTCTTAACTAACGATCTCAAAACCCAAAAAACATTTTTTTTCTCATGAACGAACAAATACGAAGATATAATTTGCGGCCGCTACCCGGGGGGCGTCGGGGTACACTTGGAGCCAACGCTGAGTGTAGCAGCATGCGAGCCGTTGGTGACGAAGAGTTGAACAGGCAGGCCTCCGTTGGGCAAGAGCCCGAAGATACGACAGCCGACATCATCATTACAAATGCGTCATCACCAACATCATCAATCAATAGTGTATTCCAATCATCCAGCTCATCTTATCATCCCGTTCATCTTCCATAACACCATTGTCATGCGACGTTGTGCAGGAAGCGAAAGCTACTAATTCTGTACCCGTGTATGGCACCACAGATATGCGTACGCGTAAAAAATGGTCTAAAGATATGAACATGTTTATTTTACGTACGTATTTCATCATAACAAAACTCGAAACATGTAAAACTAATGATTACCTCACTTTATTACATTATTTACCAGTCAATATCCGAATATGACAGTTACAAAACAAAGAATTGGGGACCAGCGCAGAGCAATAATACGTAAACAACTTTTAAGTGACGAAGAAATTAAAGAAATAAGGAAACAGGCAGAACATCACTGTTTCGGACGACCAGAACCAGGGTATGTCTAGTACCCGGAGGTCGACCTGGGACAATCTCCCAGACGTTCTTGGCGTACACGGCAGTATGTCCGTTCGCTGGTAATGTACGCCACCACGCACCCCTGAATGCGTAGCTTGGGTCCCGATCCACTAGGGTTTCTTCGTTGACAGGAGACTATACTTAGAGGCGATGAAATAAAACACAATTTTTCCTTTTTTCTCTCTTGGTTTCGGTTCTTCCTTTTCCTTTTAGTTGTTGCCTCTTCGGTGGCTGTCTTGCGACTGACTCGAATCGAGAAATGGCTCGCCTTTTATTTGGCCCGTTAATACCTTACAGAGAGCCGCGTACTTTGAGCTCATTTTTCGAGTAAAATTTCCCTAAACCGAAACCTTGAGAGTCCTTTTATTTTATGTTTTCAGTAAAACACCTTACACATATTTATTTATTTACATGCCTTACACACTATTATACAATATTAAAACATAATATTCAATATATAATAATTAATTAAAAAAGTCTTAAAACAAAAATATCTAAATTTCTAGGTTGCTACATTTTTACTATACATTTTCCCTTATAACTTTTGAACGGATAGTCCTATCGACCTAATTCTTGTTTTATTATAAGTTTTATAATAAAATCTATTATTTAAAACATAAACTATTATGCTATTGCAAGAAACAAAAAATCTCATTTTCAAGTTACGTAATTATATGCTAACATTTTACTTACGTACCTATTCCTTTCAAATTAATGTTAAATAGTCTTATATGATTCAAATAAGCAAAAAATACTCTAAACTAACCTTATTACACTAGTTAGAACTTATTTTAACATAATAAATCTAATAAGAATGAGATTTCATATTTACAACAATTATTCATAATACGCTAAAATGACATTGTCCCTATATTAATACACACGTTACTCGAAGATAGGTTTTCCGTCGCCGACATTCTCCCCCTCGTGCTTTGCACCAACTCCTGGACTCGGCGACGCTCCCGGCACCAACAGCACCACTCTCGAACTGGGCCTCCGTAGAACACCTCCTCTGGTCTCGACGTCGACGACTCTGGTCCGCCCGTCTGGTCCAGGATACACATGCAGGATTCTTCCGCGTGGCCAGATGCATCTTGGTAGGCTGTGATCGACGATCAGTACGATGTCTCCGACTTGCAAATCTGTGGCGCTGACTCTTCCTTTGGTCTTCCTTGGTAGTAGAGTGGGCAAATACTCTCTCAGCCAACGTTGCCAGAAGTGATCGGCAAGTCGCTGCGTAGCCTTCCAGGTGTGTCTGCCCACAAGCTCGTTGTCCTCGAAGCTGCCGATTCTTGCTGCGCCACATGATCGCCCGATGAGAAAGTGGTTCGGTGTAAGTGCTTCTTCTTCAGGGTTCTCGGAGAGGTGGGTGAGGGGCCGAGAGTTGACTATGTGCTCGGCCTCTAACAGGAGGGTATGAAGTACCTCCTCTCGTGGTTGCCTTTCGTTGAGCGTGGCGTCCAGTGCGGTTTTAATGGATCGCACCAGACGCTCCCATGCACCTCCCATGTTTGGTGCACCAGGAGGTATGAACTTCCACTGCACGCCGATCTTCTCCGCTTCCGAGATAAGGTCTTCTTGCTTCATGGTGTCTAGTGCTCTTTGAGTTCTTTGTTGGCGCCAACGAAGTTAGTGCCATTGTCGGTGTAGATTATCTTTGGCATTCCCCTTCTCGCGGCGAATCGTCGTAGTGCCATGATCATGCTGTCAGTGGAGAGTGAAGGAGTGAGCTCAATGTGTACAGCTCGTGTTGTTAAGCATGTGAATAGAGCACCCCATCTCTTCTCATGGCGTCTTGCTACGGTGATCGTCATAGGGCCGAAGTAATCTATTCCCGTGCACGTAAATGGAGGGTTTCCGTGCATCAGCCTCTCAGCAGGTAAGTTGCCCACTGGTAGTTCTTGAGGTCTTGCCTTTCTTGTTTTGCACCACTGGCATTGATGTTGAATGGTCTTGATCGCTGACCTCAGTCCTAGCACCCAGAAGCGTTGTCTTACTTCGTTCATTACGGTCGCGTGATTCCCGTGATTGAAGCGGCAGTGAAATTCTTCTATGATGAGAAGTGTTGTCTTGTCCTTGCTGTCGAGTACGATGGGTCGTTTGTAGTCTCTGGTAACCCCTCGTATCGCGTCGATTCTTCCTTTCAGTCGCAGGAGACCTTCTTCTAGCACTACGTCGAGCCTTTTCAACTTGCTGCTGCCCTCTAATTGTTTTCCTTGCTGTAGGCACCTGATGTCCTCTTTGAAGCATTTCTCTTGACTTCTTCTTAACAACAGCGTTTCAGCTTGCTCTAGTAGACTTGTTTCCAATGGTATGTATTTCCTTTCTGACGTTTTTGAAGACAGATGTCGCTTCTCAACAATTTTCTTATTCCTTTTTGTAGTTTTCCAGGTAGGATCTTCTTTGCTGGCGTGGACCTTTTCCTTTCTTCTGCAGAATTGTATGAACTGCAGTACTCTTGCTGTAGCTCGCCAAAGTCTTTTCCACGACGAGAACTTTTCGGGATCTGGTGATGGATAGGAGCTGCCTGCAGTCGCTACGATGTCCGCTGCCTTTTCTTCGCCAGTGGTTTCTTTCTTGAATGTTCTTGCCGCAGGCCAGTGAACTTCATCTCTTCTTAGAAACCCTGGTCCGGTGTACCATCGGTGTTGGCAGTCGAAGTGTTCTGGTACGTCACGTGTTGCATCATCTGCAGGGTTCTGCGCCGTCGGTACCCATCTCCAGTCCTGTGGTTTTGTGAGATCTTCTATCTCCGCCAAGCGATGAGCCACGAATGTCTTGAAGGTTCTCGGATCCGTCTTGATCCATGATAGCACGATACTGGAGTCTGTCCAAAACGTCTTCTTTTCTATTTTCAGATCCATTTCTTCCTCGACCGAGTGTGCCAATCTGCTTCCTAGGAGGGCCGCTTGCAGCTCGAGTCTCGGGATTGACACCGGCTTCAACGGAGCGACTCTTACTTTTGCTGCTACTAAGCTGACGTCATAAGTCCCATTTTGATTTTCAGTTCTCCAATATACCGTAGCTGCATACGCCATTTCGCTTGCATCCGTGAACGTGTGCAGCTCCCCCTCGGTGCGACGTGGTGCCAGACATCTCGGGATCTGAAGGTCTTGGAGCAGCTTCATCTTCTCCAGGTAAGTCTTCCATGACTCGTACTCCTTTTCTTCTATCTCTTCATCCCAACCGACGCCACTTCGCCATATGTTCTGGAGCAGCCTTTTGCCTTGGATGAGAATTGGTGATGCTAGCCCTAGTGGATTGAAGGTCGACATCACGGCGCTGGTGACTTCTCTCTTCGTAGGTACCTTGAGTCCTTGTGCCACTTCATCTGGCGTGTTCCGAAGGTTCGCCCTGAAGCCTATGGAGTCCCTTTCTGTAAACCAGCGTAGTCCCAGTGTCTTCTCTTCCTTCTCACTAAGGTCCACCTCTGTCTTCTCAACTGACTCAGTCTTCACGTCTTGCAGCAGGTCAGAGTGGTTTGACGCCCATCCTCGGAGTTCGAAGCCCGCCTTTTTGTGAATGAAGTCCACCTGCGCTGTAATTCCCTTGAAGTCCTCTTCTGAATGGAAGCTGTGCAGGTAGTCATCCATGTAATGGTTCAGCTCGATTGCCTTTGCTGCCTCTGGGTACTGCTTCTTGTAGTCCGCCGCGTTCCGGTTCTTCACGTAGATCGCTGTGCTAGGAGATGATGTCGCGCCGAAGATGACTGATGTCATTCTGTACTCCTTCGGTGCTAC